TGAGTGGCAGGGAATTGGGAGGTGCCGGGGTTTGGGGGGTTGGCTTGGGTGCAGGGTCTGCGGTTCTGCGCGAATGCGCGGTCGGGGGTCGGGGGGTCTGGGGATCACCAAATGCTGGAAACCAAGCCCCGATCACTCCAAGACTACTACCAAGACTAAACACCCCTTCATTTTGAACACTTTTGCCTCCGTAACCTACACTCACACACACACACACACCCACCCACAATCGACCACGTCTGAAGCTTGGTGCGGTACAATAATAGTACAGTAGTACAATAGTAGTACAGTAGAAATAATACAGTAGTAGTACAATAATAGTGCAGTAGTACAATAGTAATACAACAGTAGTACATTAGTAGTACAATAGTAGTACAGTAGTAGTACAATAATAGTACAGTAGTACAGTAGTAGCACAATAGTAGTACAGTAGTAGTACAGCAGTAGTACAGTAGTAGTACGATAATGGTACCGTAGTACAATAGTAGTACAGTAGTAGTACTGTAGTAGTACAATAATAGTGCAGTAGTACAATAGTAACACAACAGTAGTACAGTGGTAGTAGTACAGTAGTAGTGCAATAATAGTACAGTAGTACAATAGTAGCACAATAGTAGTACAGTAGTAGTACAGCAGGAGTACGGTTATAGTACCGTAGTACAATAGTAGTACAGTAGTAGTACACTAGTAGTGCAGTAGTACAATAGTAGTACAGCAGTAGTACAGTGGTAGTACAATAGTAGTACAGTAGTAATACGATAGTAGTACAGTAGTACAATAGTAGTACAGTAATAGAACAGTGGTAGTACAATAGTAGTACAGTAGTACACTAGTATTACAGTAGTAGTACAACAGTAGTACAGTAGTACAGTAGTAATACAGTAATAGTACAGAAATAATGCCAATAAGCAAAGCATAAAGCCAGTGAGCACATTCCCCCAATAAGCAAAGCATAAAGCCAGCGCCTGAAACCCTAAACCCTATACCCTGAACCCTGAACCCTAACAAACCCTAAACCCTAACGAATCCTAAACTCCTAAACCCTAACAAACCCTAAACCCCAAGCCCTAAACCCTTCCCAAAGGGGGGTCGGTCCAGATTGAATTTTTTATACAAACTTTAGTACTGGAGAGGCCTCTTTTGAGCTAGGGTCCAATCCCCGATTCGGCGGCTCACCCTAGCAGCCCCCCCCAATAAGCAAGGCATACAGTAGCAGTACAATAGTACAATAGTAGTACAGTAGTAGTACAGAGTCCCTTCCTGACGCCCCAATAAGCGAAACAATTCTGCAAGAGATTTTCGGGCTTCAGGGCCAGGGTTTTAGGGTTGGGTGGGGGTTTGGGTGGGGGTTTAGGTCGTGGCTGCCTTAAGATTGACCATCAGCAAATAGCACAGCCCCGCCACCAAAAAATCACCCCAGCCAAAAAAAAACGCATTAATTGGTACCCCCAAAATTTTACTCGGATTCGGAATTAGCCCCCGAGCCGACGCATTAAAGGAGCCTATATTCCTAAACCGACACCCACATTAATGGACCCCGAAACCTCATTCTAACCATTACGGCCCCTATATCCCGACAAAACCGCCTAAACCCTAGTCCCTGAAAGGGCTTGGATAAAAACCCAGTATCACACCCGGCATGGAGACAGTGAATTATGTGATCTTAACATAGGTAACCCTGCACTCTTAACACCTGAATCCTCGCCCGACCCTGCGTTGAAAAACACTCAGCCCTCAAATTCTGAAGCACTAAAGATCCTAAACCCTGAAGCACAAAGCATACTTTGCACAGAGAAGCTGCCCTAAGCCTCAAACTTAAACCCCTTACCACTAGACCCCAAAGCCCTTTCACAGGAACCCTAACCACGAAACCCTAAGGCCCTTTAACAGAACCCTAAACCCCAAACCCCAAAACCCCAACCCCTCAACCTCAAAGCCCTTTAAAAGCACCCAAAGCCCTTAAAAGAACCCCAAAACCCCAAAGCCCTTTAAACGCTGCCTGAAACAGGCGGAGCCCAGCCACCGGATCGCTGGGATCCTGGATCCGAACTGCCGGGGTTTAGGGTTTGGGGGGTTTAGGGCTTTAGGATGTAGGGTCTAGGGATCCAGGGATTTAGGGTTTAGGGATTTAAGGCAGGGTTTAGGGATTTAGGGTTTAGCGATTTAGGGTTTAGGGCTTTAGGGGTTGAGGGCTTTAGGGCTTAGGGTGTAAGGGCCCCTTAACCCTAAACCTCCGGGTTTAGGGTTTAATTTAAGGCTTTTTTAGGGTTTAGCGTCGAGGATCCCCACAAGTTAGGGTTTAGGGTTTAGAGTTGAGGGTCCCTAAATACCCTGAATCGTAGGGCTCAAGGTGACTCAACAAGGTTTCGGGGATATTGAATTCAAGCCTCAGAGCTCTGGCCGGCCCTTCGGGTGTAGGGTCCTTAGAGGTTCAGTCAGTATTCAGGGATTGGTTTTTCATTGCTAGGTTTGGGGGTTTCGAGTTTAGGGCTCTGGGTTTCCAGCCTTGAGAAGTTAGCGTTCAGGCACTCCGCTGGCTTTGCTGTGGGTGTTAATCCTCAGCGGGCTCCTGAAATCCATGATCAAGCTCACATCCAACAGCCCCGCAGCTCCGACCCTGATACTGGTGAGTTGTAGGATATGGGAATTTAGGGTCTGTTTAGGTTAGGGTTCCCCAAAACCCTAACCTCTGAACTCGAAACCCTAAGCTTAAACGCAAAAAAAAAGGCGCCTGAGAAGGCAAGCTCAAGACGAACCCAAAAACTGAAATCCTCTGAACCCTTACTAAAGTATATGAAGCCCGCAGTTGCAACCAAAAGCCACTCCTCGACCTTCTCGGCGTTCATCACATGGCCGTTGGCCGTATCGCAACGGCCCAGCCTAGGACCAGGGGGCAGACCACTCTGGGTTGAACCCTTTGGGCTGTTTGGACTGATTTAATTTAAGTTATCTTTATACTTTATAAGGATCTATAGTAAATAAAGTGGCTTCCTTATTACGGTAACTTAAACTAAATCCCTTAATAAGAACCCAGTTTTTGGCGGTGTTGAAGGTTCATGCCCCGTCTCGGCACTTTTCTTGGGTCTTCACGGCGTGTCGTAAGCACCCAACATCGGAAAACACAAACATGCCAAGAAACAACTCTTAGCCCAAAACCCCCAAGCAGGATCCAAAACTAAATCTGGCGCGCTCCGGCTGTGGCTCCCGAAGTAGAGCATTCATACAATCATAATATTGCACCAAGAAAACTTAAACAAAAAGTCTGGCTAATTGCTCAAGCCCCTGGTGCACTCTCACTGGATCTGGTGCGATCCTTTGAGCCTTAGCCCTCCACGACTTTCGCCTTCAGAAACCCTAGCATCCGATAGCCCTGGCAGTTGAAATTTGGGGTTCAGGGGATTTGGAGGCTTTCGGCTTTAGGATTTAGGGTTTAGGGTTTAAGGGTTCAGGCTTTTGGGGGTGAGCGGTTTGAGGGCATGAAGGGTTTAGGGTGGGGTTTTATAGGGCGCTTTACTTTAGGGTTCAACCTTGGCACCTTTTCAAGGCACGGGGATGTAGCCATGCGCCATCTGTTAAAGCCGTGGGATTTCCCGGCATCTGATACTTAAACCTTACCTTTTCGCAGCGGCTCTCTCTTTCCAATGGTTCCTACATCCGGATCGTCCGGAAGCCTAGTCCAATTAATTACCCGATGGAGTCTGGGCACTCGTATCACATTTTTGTTGCCATTATATTGTACTGTAATAAATTATTTTACAGTATAATCAAGTCTACTATCGTTCAGCATAGTGTAGTATCGTCATCATCGTACATTATGTATTGCATTACACATCATATTTTGCTTTCTGACATTATAATGTGCTGTATTGCACCACATAACATAATACCCTAAATCCTAAACCCTAAACCCCCCAAATATGCTGGGCCTGGGCCTCCCGACACGCGCAGAGCGCACTCTTTGTCCTCGATGTCCAGAGGTTCGAAGCTGACGAGGCCTGGGCTTCAGCAAAGGCCGTGGGACCCTTAATGAGGACCCCTAGGTATATACCCCTGATATACCTATTATATACCCATTATATAGCCCATTATATAACCCATTAAGAGTCCCTCCTCAGTGCCGGGTTTTTAGTGTTTGTTGGGTTCCTTAAAGCGCTTCAGAAAGGGATCTGTAAGGGATCTTGAGGGTTGGGTTCCTTAAAGTGCTTTACAAAGGGATGTAGAAGGGATCTTTAAGGCTTCGGGGTTTAGGGCTCAGGGTTTGGGGTTTAGGCCCTCAACACAGGCTTGGATGCACTGAGAAGTATCAGAACCGATCGATTTTGAGAGATACATATCATGAGCCTTTTGACATAGCAAGGACATCATGATCACAAGGGTAAAGGGTTTTAGGTTTTAGGGTTTAGGGTTTAGGGTCTCTTTTCACTACAGATATGGGAATTTCCGAAAGTAAGGGACCCTAGTATAGTACCCTAAATAGTAGGATCCTTACTATAAGGACCCCAATCTAAGGTACCCCTTATTGTCGGAAACTCCCATATTGCACCTGGATTACTTTTAACATGCTTGTTGTCACAAGTGCATTCGACTTGCCTAGCGGTGGAGTTCCTAGTGAACGCAATGTGACAGCGACGACTGCGGTTGAGGGCTTATCTAGTTTGCTGCCCGGAACTACAGGACGCAACCCCATGCGCCCACCCGAAAAAGCCCAACCCCAAAACCTGCGCTTGAAGGACCATGTGACGTTTTAGAGCACTGCATCGCAGCGAGTGTCTGCACGAACTGATAGACCCAAAAGCCTCAACTTGAAGTTCACGAGTCGCGCAGGGTTCGTAAGCCGAATCCACCGCCGGTTTTTCTCTTGAGACGCGGGCCATAGTCTTCGATGAGCTCTGCCAGTAGCCTGGTCTTGGGATTCGGCTTCTAATGTTTACGTTAAGGGTTCGGGTGGGTGTAGGGTTGAAAGTTTAGGGTTCACGGCTAGGGCTAGGGTGCACCAAGAAATATGAGCTCTGAGCGGTCAGCCTCAAGCTAGCCAAATCCCCGAAACCTCTGAGCCCAAAACTTCACTGAAGCTTGCAAACCTGAGTGACCAAAACTCCGAAACAATTAAACACCTAAAACCCTAAGACCCCGTCCTAATACCCTGTTAGCCCTAAGACCCTAAGCCTTAAAGCCTGAAGCCCTTCACCCCCTTAAACCCTGAAGCCCTGAAACCCTATAGCCTAAAGCACTAAGTCACTAAGGCCTTACATCTTAAAGCCTTGAAAAACCTATTGCTTTGAAACCTACAGCCCTACCACCCCCTTAAACCCCCCCTTAAGCCCTTAAACCAGGCCTGTTGAAGGCTTTGAACTTCGTACTCAGAGGATGCCTGGCATGCCCGTGGCCCACACGCCACATTCTCCCCAAAACCTACCGTGCGTGTTCGTTCTGCCGTGTAAAGGCTTCCTTTAAAGGGCTTCTGTAAGGGATCTGTACGGGTTATGTAGTTTCGGGGCCTTGACAATAGAATAGGGCTTTGGGGTATATCATAGCACAAGTATTCATGGGCTATCCGGGGATACGATTGCTGATGATTCCCATCTCCACGTTAGTTCTCTCATTCGGATCCCTTTCACGATTCCTAAACGAGTACTTCACTCACTGTCAAATGAAGTGATCGATAACATGAACGTAGTTTAGAGAATCCTCCACCGCTGAACCCCAAAGAACCAGCCAGACAGACTTGTTCGTCTGAAGCGTCCACAGCAGCTGTGAAAGGTCGGAGACACCTGAAAACGATCCGGGGAAACACGTGGAAACCGAGCAGCCCCATCCCCGTCTTGCCGGTGTGTTGCTTGCTGTGTATAGGTGAAATCGCTCACTCCAACTGCCCATTCTTCTTGCCAGGGCTACCTCGTGGTTACACGCAGTTCCACTGTTTGGTCCGCAATGTTATGGCCCAGGGTTATGTAGAAAAAAAAGCAAGCAATCCAAACAAGGAACTGCAGGTGAATTCCATCACCCGCGGCACTAGACCATCTATAGTTAAGTCTGATGAACTCTGCACAGTCATCTCGGACAAGGTATTTCCCTGACGCGCTGTCGCGACCTCAATAACAAGAAGATGGATGCATAGTCTTTTGGAATCCGTGCTTGCGTATTTATAGTGCAGGTATTGCAAAGGTGTAGTAGAGATTGCTAGTCGTCCAGGACCCCTTGTCAAGCAATGAACAGGTCCTCTCCTGCATAGTAGTCCAAGCTGAAGGTCAAGTCATCGGTGTGGTCCTGCGGTCGATGATGCTCGTGGCAGTTCTTGCGGAGATGGCTTCATTGTTGGGTCCAAAAACCGCATTACTATAGGATCTGGCCTGTTGTGAGCCTCAGCACAGTGCGCTGATTGAATCGCAGACCGCGAAGATAGTCATGTCCTGGACGACATCTTATCTTCATCAACCTTTTCCCAAAACTGCAACCCTTCTGTGCAACTTGAGCCCAAACCCCATCAACCCGAAATGAATGTGCTTTCGGGATTTAGGGGGCTCTGTCCATGACCATGTCAATCTTGGACAGCACGTTGATGTGGGGAAGCTCCAGCTGCATCATAGCAGACAGTGACCTTGGAAAGCCGCTGATCAAAAACCCTGCGGTAAAAGGGTGTTGGGTTCAGGATTCCAAGGTTTAAGTTTGATACGAGCAACAGTACGTAATCATAGCTAGGAGTATCATCATGGTTCTAATAACTTTTAGAATTTCTATTCAAATCCAGGGCTTAGACTGCTAAAGTGTTGCATCCGCCCTTAGCGGCGCTCCTGTAATAACAGAACTCTACACCCTAAACCCCAAACCTCATAACAGAGCCTGTGGTTGCTCGATTCCCGGTCGGCGCATCTATGGCTCCGGCAGCATCACGGCTGAAATGTAGCGGTAGACGTCCACGCAAAGCGTGGAGTCCTGGCATGCGCATCTACATGCCGGATAGACCAACAGGAAAGCTCCTTTAAGCCAAATGTAGGGCCTCTGAACCTGAAACTACCTCCGTCCTGAACCCTAGAGCCTGACGTAGGGGTGTGATCAGGGAGCCGTTCATGAGCGTTACCAGTCGCTGTCTGAAGTGGCTCAGGCAAGCTGAAGCAATCGACATAGCCGACATAGCTCCGAAAATTGGACAAACTGAAGCAAACTATAATGCTAGTGGTTCATGTTCACAGAAATTCTGCGCAAAGGTTACCACAAAGTAGGCCGTCCGGCACAGACTCAGCAACAAGAGCTGAGGCTCCATGTATTGAGGTGCGGGCAATGAGATGCACTGCCACGAGCCGCAAATCCAAGGCCTGCAAAAATCTGTTCTTTGGAGGGAGGGGGGGGAGGGGGGCGCATTCAAACGCAAAACCACGGCCCTAACCTTGACCTCATATAACCTACCGTCTTAAGGACTTGTAGAAGGATAACATCAGAGGGAATTCCAAAATTGAAGGGGTTATAGGGTCCAGGAAAACAGAAATTCCAGACCAAAAGCATGGCTCGAACACCTCTAGGTGCCTAGTGAAGATGCCCGAGAGAGCTGTGGCAGTCTCCATCGGACTGGCAACTTTACGAGAGGACCCCTTTAACCAGGCCGAGTGCGATCGGTGAACCCGAAACCTCTCTTCTAGGTCCTACCCAGGCTGCTTTTTGGGTTTGTGCTCTCGTCTTCAGGCTTAGAGTTACAGGGTTGAGGGTCCACATGTACATATCCACCCATGCTCACAGTTGTGCAAATTTCTTCGCTACGTATGCAAAGACTGGAGTACGGCGATAAGTCAGCTACTTTGATATGTTCCAAGCCGTCAGTCTGAAAAAAGCACTAACCGTGGCCTTGGTCAGCTGCTGGGTGATCTTGGTCATCACCTCGTTGTGAGTGTAGAGCTCTACCTGCAGCACAGGGCTGGGATTTGAGTCTGCTTTGCAGCTACTGGTTGTTCTTAAGACTAGCGAGCGTCATTCTACTTCAGACAAGTCTCGTCCTTACGCTACAAGTCGGACCATTCCAACGGATAGAGAAACAGAAGCAACGCCGTTTGTACTGGCATCCTGTGTTTAGCAAGCGCGTCAGGGCCTAGCTACACCCCCTAAGGCTCCATGTACCCATATAGTATACACTTAGTCCTTAAAGGGGTTCCTATATGGATACTTCAAGGTATAAGTATATACTATATGGCTACATGGAGCCTTTGGGACCATCGTGGTTGCCCTTTTTGGCCTCAGCACAAAAGTTCTCATCCTCCAGTCTTTGGTATTCGGCAAGCGAATTTCGGCTTCCATAGCAGGAAACTACACCGATCTCCACGGCCTGCGTACGTCTATGTGTTAGGAGATCCTCTGCGCGCTTGAAACTACTCAGTCTGACTGCATGGGCTACAGGCTGCACGTCTTTGGGTGATGCGAGGGAACGGCAGCGGAAGGCCTGTTCCAAGCAAGACGACTATAAAGCCGGCAGGAAGTGCGGTGCACAGAAATCTATCTCGACGCTTGATGGCGAGGGTCATCCCTGGTTGCATACAGCAGTAGTATACCTAGCCTATCCTTTGGGATTATGAGGAGTTCGGTCATGAGAGTCATCCGGACGGCCCTGGCCCTGGCCATCAAGGCCAGATCACAGAAATCCTGAAACGATGTGAAGCGCTCACGATTGTGGATGTGGACGGCGTAAGCCTCAGGAATCGTGATACTTCACAGGGCCACACAAGAACCTGAATCTCCACCATATTGTCAAGGCTCTCTTCGTCCATGTGCCTGCCCCGCTCTTGCTCTCTGTCACTCTCTTTCTCCTTCTCTCTCTGTCTCTTCCGGTACTTGCAACAGAGACAATTTGAACAAAGCTGACGACCATGAACGGAAGACGTCTTCCGCAGCGGCCACGCCAAACTATGCAAGAAGCTATACTTGCTGCTATCGCACGAGTATATTGGTTATCCTGACGACAATCATTGACATCAAGGCATTGCGCATGTTCTTGTTGTGGTGGTGGTTGTTGTTGTCCTTGTCCTTGTCCTTGTCTTCGTCCTTGTTTTTTGTGGCGTTGGTATTCGTCGCGGCTGCGGTGGCAATGGCAATGGCGGTTGCAGTGTTGTTGACTGGGATATTGGTGATGGTGCTAGTTAGCGCCATTGGTGATGACGCTTGTCATCATCATGGCATTGCTCATGACAATGATGGCGAAAGCGATTGCAAAAGTGATGGAAGCGGCGACTGCAGGGCTGGTGGCATTGGTACCGAGTTGCTGTTCTGCAGCTACAACTGATACGACGCTGGCGACAAGGGTAGCCAGCCTATTCATCCTCGTCCAGGACGATGATGCCGTCTGCAATCATCCCAGGCTCTTTCGATGGTGGAGGGTCTGCCTGCACTGAGAGGGGAGGAAGGCGTCTAGAGCTTTGCTGAAGAGAAGCCGAAACTGCAATCCCAAAACGAGAAAGTCTGGGCATGCCTAGCTACGACAATGCTGGATATAAGTAACACCCACGCACATGACCTCAGTGTCTGGGAGTAGGGCGGGTTTAGTGTCGTGACGTCTCCTATGGCCTTTCCCACACACAGCTTCCGGACTGCGTGTTTGCAGTGCTCAGAAAGGCAAGCTGGAAGCCCCGGAACACTGAATCTTCTATCCTTAACCCCACAGCCGGGAACTGCAAAAAACTCCTAAACCACTATCCCCAAACCCTAAACCCCGTACCCTAAACCCTGAACCCGAAACCCTAAGCCCGAAACCCTAAGCCGAAGCCCTAAACCACAGCTCCCAAACCGAACCCCCTGAGCCCGTCCGTCCCCAACAGCCTTCGGCGGCTCTGCCACGCCCTGTTTAGCCTGGCCACGGATCGTGACAACGTCAGCAGCAAACCCGAAGAGCACTAGAATCCGATGAAGAACATGCTGTAAATCATAATATTTTAAACATTTATGATTTGTGACCCCTCAAATTCTCAACGAATCTACCGTAATTCACGGGCATTGTGCTGGTGATTTTCCAGCCAAGCCAAGAGAGAGTTTGAATGACAACACGGTTGAAGTTCGGAAGGGGAGGGCGAGGGGGGCCTGAATAATTACATTGGCAACCCAAGCAACCCAAGCAACCCTAAACCCTACCCTAAAACCCTAAACCCTAAACCCCTCATTAAACCCAAGCAGCGCCCAAATGGGTACAGCAAAGCCCTGCCCCCCTCACTACAGCAGCATATCAAACCGAAAGCCCCGGAAAGCGCGACTCTTCTCCCCCTAAATCCTCTCCCCTTCACCCTAAACCCCTAAACCCCTAAGCCTGGCTTGTAATTCATAATTAGTTCATCCCTGGGTTGTATCTGGAGCAAGGATCCCTGCGTCAGTCTCGCCTGGATCGCCCGACGACCGCTTCATAAGCCCCTAATCCCCTAAGCCCCAAACCCCACTTCAAAACCAGGCAACCCTTAAACTCTAAACCCTTACTCTAAACCCTAAAAACCCCCTTTCGAAACCAGGCCTCTTGAATCAGCTTTGCCAGCTCGGCTTCGGCATCGCTCACCTTGCCTGGTCAGGAGGCAGCCGGCTGCCAGCGTTGATATACGTAGGGCCATGAGAATCAGAATACCGATCCCTTGAAAGGGTTCCTTAAAGGGCTCTATAAGGGTTTCTATAGGGTATTAGAGTATAGGGGCCTTAGTACGTAATTAGAATCAGGTTTTGCTGTATCTTATAGTATGCTTGGCTATATTCAGGGCCTTGGTCGTTAGAGTGGGATTTCAGTGTATCGTTATATATTTTACTTAGTCATTGAAAAACGAACCCCAAGGAATATTTTAGACAATTATTTCAGTCCTTGGGTGGATCATCCAGAGAACACGTCCCTGTGATACTAAGGACCCCGACGAAGACCCAGTTGGTGAATCCTCTGCTGCATTCTCCACATGCGGTTTTTGGGCTTGAGGGTGCTGGTACAGGATTTACGGGATCAGGCGGATTTTCAACTGTAATCGGCCCGCCTCATCGTAGTGTAGAGTCGAACATGGGCAGTGGGCAGAAGAGTTGCGGTATGCCACACTCTTGCAGCAGGCACAGTCATAAAATATCTTGATTGTCAGCCCTATGTAATCATTGCCACAACAACTGCCAGAAGATGACCCCAAACCCCGTTCCAAAGATTGTCCAACTCCGAGCCTGAACCCACGCCTCTTTCTCGTCGCGCCGCCGCTGCTTCTGCAATCTTATTCCGCCTGTGAGGGTTTGGGAGCTTCCACAAGGACCCTGACACAGCCCCCCCCCCCCCCCCCCGCCCCAAAAAAACATCCGAGTATTGCAAGACCCGTGCATTGTCTCACAGTTCTGGAACCTTCATTTCGCAGTTCAGATCTAGGGCACGAAGATGTTGGGGCGGGCCTCGGCTTAAGATGTAGAAGATGAGAAGCCTAAACCCTAAAGATGAGAAGCATGTCTGAAAGTTGCGCCCGGAACCCAACGCAACGATACAAGCCCAGCAGCCCCCAACCTCCTAAACTCTAAACCCCTAAAGCCCTAAGCCCCTAAACCACTAAACCCTAAAACCTAAATCCTCAACCCCTAACCCTAAACCACTAAAACCATAAACCCCTAAACCACTAAACCCTAAAACCTAAATCCTCAACCCTAAACCCTAAACCACTAAACCTTAAACCCATAGGCCTTACCGGCCGAAAGCTGTAGACTCTGCAGCGACACAGAGACACTGCCACACAAGGGCAGAGAGCTTGGCATCCGCAGACAAGCATGGGAGTTTGAGAAAACAGCGGGCTCTCGTTTAGTTCCCCAGCAGCCGGATTCATGTTTTAAATTCCTACGTATCGGACCCGACTTTTGATGAAGCTTCCATGGATGGTCTCCAGAAGGTGCTTTGAACAAGGAACCAAGTGCTTCTGGGTCGATTCTGGTCCTGTCTTGTCGCAACTGCCTCCGGCCCAAAACAATTAGCAAGTTGCGGGGGAAATCCAGGTTCGTACATGTTCTGATAGAGTGTTAATACCGGCTTCCTGGCCTACTGTGCACCACAGCCGTGGTATATGGTCTGCTGGTATACATACACATTGTCTTCTCGCACGAATGCTCCGGGTCTCTTGATATGGGAGACGCACATGGCCCTGAACCCTCAACAGAATTATTTTTGGGTCCATATTATAATACGGCACCTATTATTTAGGGTACCCCAAAAAGGGGACCCTAGTTTGGACAACTACCCGGGGCCCCGGGCCTTTCGAGTTCTTCCTGCTCTTTCTTGTCCTTCTTGGCTTGCCTGGCACCAAAAAATCTTCACGCCCCTGAACGCAACGGGACCCTGCTAGTAAACCTTCGCGCAAACACATCCACAAGCACATTCGTTTGCGGGGTGTTCTTCTGTTTTTAGTTGTTCAGGGATGACACTGAGACCCCCGGCCGGCATGTGAACCCTGCACCCGGGCTGGAAATACCCCGGGAGGTCATTAAACTGCTTTGGGCAAGTTTCATTTCGAGAGTTCCGAAGCCTAGGATACGTCGGGGTCTTTAGGCTGAAATGTCACTTACAGGCTCCCAGAAGCCTGAATAGATACAAATACTCTTCCTAAGGGTTCCTCAGAATGGTTGTAGTCGAACCTACATTTAAACCCGACTTAAGCCCGATTCTGGTTGATAACCCCTAAACACTCATGCCCTATAGACCCTAGTCCCTAAGCTCTAAACATTATAAACCCAATCCTTAACCTCCAAACCCCACAGACCCTAAGCCCTAAACCCTTGGAGGAAGAGCTTGAATCAGCAAGAAGAAGACTTGCCCGGATCGCTTTTCTTCCTTTTTCTTCTTTGCCTCCTCTTTTTCTTTTGCCTTTTTCTTCGCTTTCCTGAGCGGTCAGACAGCATAACCTAGACTTTTCAGAAGGTCGAAAAGCTGCATGGTGATCTGTGAAGTCTCTTGCCCCGTATTCTCGATGGCGGATGATGCTGTACTTCTGGCATGGCAAATGGACATCCTTTTGGTTAAGCCATGGTGCGCGGGTAGGTTAGGAGAGTGCTGTATTACTGAGCGGGTCGTCGCAATCATCCCAAGCTAACCTGCTACCTCTGCGGCAGTGCAGCGTGAATATACAAGCTTCTCGTAGACTATGTTGTGATTTTCTCATAGTCCGGAAGGCCCTGTGTCCCGCAGTGTGATAGAACTGCCCGACTGCAAGAGGAAACTGCAGCTGCTGGCCATCGTTTCGCTCTTGCTCCGTCTAGCTTTCAAGCACCTGCATCGGCCCTAAATGCTACTAAACCCGAGACTCTAAACCCGTCAACCCTAAACCCCAGTACTACGCAAACTTACACAACGGCTTCCGCCAGGCAGCTTTCGCTCCTCCTGCTCCTGCTGCTCCTGAGCTAAAGTGGTGGGAGCCGTGTTCGTGGGGACACCGCTTTCAAGCGGACGAGACTTGACACCTGCAGCTAGACCTGCATGCGCTGTAGTACTGCATGAGATAGCTACCACACAGACAAGCAGAGCAAAGAAAGAATCATCAGCAGCCTAGACCCTCCATCTACCCTCTATTAGACCCTAAATGCCCATTATTTGGGGCCATATACCTCTATAAGGGTACATGGAGGGTCCTGGAGTGCTGTTGCTGAAGAGTCTGCACTTCAATGCTCTGTCTCCTGGTCTCACGAGCGTTTGAAGTCACTGTTGACACTGATTGGCTCCAAAGCTCGCACCGAAGTCTTGGGAGGCTCGTGGTCTGCAAAAGAAGACACATTGTACATATTAAGTATACATAATATATATATATATATATATATTATCACCGTATACTCTACTCTATTCTACTCTTGTATCATATATTCTATTTATAAGACACCGTATTATGTTACAGTAAGATACGCTCTAATATAAATCATCCCTCGCGCTGGCACAACGACTGGGTCTGTTGTGCTGCTAAACACAAACTAGAAGACAATTGGCCCGAAAGCATCATCAGCGAAGAGTGTTGCGCTACGTCATAGAATCCAGTGTATAGGGTCATAGAGTCACCGAGTCAAAAGCACGGAGTCACAGAGTCGGAGTGTCACATACAGTCAAGAGTCGTACAAGTCATAGTTCATAGAGTCATCGAGAAATAGAGGCGAGTACATGTCAAGCACAAGTCATAGTTCAAAGAGTCATAGAGTCATATAGAGTCATAGAGTCACAGTGAGACAGAATCATAGAGTCATAGTGTTATAGAGTCATAGCGTCAGAGTGAGAAAGAGTCATAGATTCATGGAGTCATCTATGTACCACGCACTTGACTTGATGTAGTTCACTCTATGAACACTAATGTTCAGGTTTAGCGGGTTTAGGGTATAGTCCAACATGACGCAGAAGTCTTCCTTTCCTAGCTCCGGAACCTCACTATATAGACATCCCTGTTACTGTGGTTTCAACGTGACTCTATGACTCTATGCATGGTCACTTTAAGTCGCAGCAGTAGTAGTAATAGTAGTTGTTGTAGTTGTTGTTGTGGTACTAGTAGTAGTAGTAGTAGTAGTAGCAGTAGTAGCAGTAGTAGCAGTAGTAGTGGTAGTAGTAGTGGTAGTAGTAGTAGTAGTAGTAGTACTAGTAGTAGTACCAGTAATAGTAGTAGTAGTAGTAGTAGTAGTAGTAGTAGTAGTAGTAGTAGTATTCTTTTGTAGTAGTGGTAGTAGTAGCAGTAGTAGTAGTAATAATAGTTGTAGTAGTGGTAGTGGTAGTAGTAGTACTAGTACTAGTTCGAACACTCGACAACGCCAATCTCTGTGAAGGGTTGCAAGTTTCACCTCAATTTACATCAAAAGTAATAACTTTAGCTCGCGTTCGAACACTCGACAACGCCAATGTGTGTGAAGGGTTGCAAAATTCATCTCAATGCACATCAAAAATTGCAACTTTACCTCGCGTTCGAACACTCGACCACGCCAATCCCTGTGAAGGGTTGCAAATTTCATTTCAATGCACATCAAAAATTGCAACTTTGCCTCGCGTTCGAACACTCGACCACGCCAATCCCTGTGAAGGGTTGCAAAATTCATCTCAATGCACATCAAAAAATGCAACTTTACCTAGCGTTCGTGCATTCGACCATGCCAATCCCTGTGAAGGGTTGCAAAATTCATCTCAATGCACATCAAAAAATGCAACTTTACCTAGCGTTCGTGCATTCGACCATGCCAATCCCTGTGAAGGGTTGCAAAATGCCAATCCCTGTGAAGGGTTGCAAAATGCAGTTGAACTGCGCCCCTGTGAAGGGTTGCGCGGCGCCCGCAAAATGTGTAACTTTACCTCGCGTTTGAACACCCGAGGAGGCGAATCCCTGTGAAGGGTTGCGCCGCGCGCCTAACATGTGTAACTTTACCTCGCGTTTGAACGCCCGAGGAAGCGAATCCCTGGGAAGGGTGCGAAGCGCGCCGCAAAATGTGTAACTTTACCTAGCGTTTGGGCGCTCGAGAGTTCCAATCCCTGGGAAGGGTGCGAAGCGCACCGCAAAATGTGTAACTTTACCTCGCGTTTGAACGCCCGAGGAGGCGAATCCCTGGGAAGGGTGCGAAGCGCACCGCAAAATGTGTAACTTTACCTCGCGCTTGAACGCCCGAGGAAGCGAATCCCTGGGAAGGGTGCGAAGCGCACCGCAAAATGTGTAACTTTACCTCGCGTTTGAACGCCCGAGGAGGCGAATGCCTGGGAAGGGTGCGAAGCGCACCGCAAAATGTGTAACTTTACCTCGCGTTTGAACGCCCGAGGAGGCGAATCCCTGTGAAGGGTTGCGCCGGGCGCCTAAAATGTGTAACTTTACCTCGCGTTTGAACGCCCGAGGAGGCGAATCCTTGGGAAGGGTTGCATTCCCGATGGACGACGACGGTGCCACCCCTGGCTTTAGAAGAGAGATTAGATACCGAGATGTAGAGAGTAAGTCAGAGAGTAAGTCAGAGAGTAAGTCATAAGTCACAGAGTAAGTTATAAGTCAGAGAGTAAGTCAGAGAGTAAGTCACAGAGTAAGTCACAGAGAGTAAGTCAGAGAGTCAATCACAGAGTAAGTCACAGAGTAAGTCAGAGAGTAAGTCAGAGAGTAAGTCAGAGAGAAAGTCACAGAGTAAGTCATAAGTCAGAGAGTAAGTCAGAGAGTAAGTCACAGAGTAAGTCACAGAGTAAGTCAAGAGTAAGTCACAGAGTAAGTCACAGAGTAAGTCACAGAGTAAGTCACAGAGTAAGTCACAGAGTAAGTCACAGAGTCATAGAGTAGTCAAGTGAGTAAGTCACAGAGTCCTCAAGTTCATAGAGTCATAGAGTCATAGAGTAGTCAAGAGTAGTCAAGTTCGGTCTTAGAGTCATAGAGTCATAGGGTCATAGAGTCGTAGACTCAAGTGTCAAGTCATAAGGTCATGTGCTCGATTCTATGTTTGTCATCTATGTATCAAGTGTCAAGTCATAAGGTCATGTGCTCGATTCTATGTTTGTCATCTATGTACTTGTCTACCCGGCTCCGCACGGAAGAACCCTTCGCGACGCTTTCGGGAAAACCTGAACAACCCCTGAATGCGAAGCCCTCAGCCTAAACCCCGAAACTCGACACCCTTCAAAGCCCAAATGTGTTGGGTTTTAGGGGCTCGGGCTTAAGCCTTAACCTGCAGAACCTGCAATAGAACTCTTACAGCGACTTGATCAAGCTGTGATAAAACCCTATAACACCCTGACAGATCCCATGACACCACCAGAATAACCGTTCCCTGAGGCTTCAATGCCAAACCAAGCGGCCAAAGCCCTTTGCTTGGCTTCAATCTTCGCTGCTTCCCGCATGGAATACCACTCCTGGGGCTTCGAGGATCTAGGGTTCTGGGGCTGTAGGGCTCAGGGCTTAGAGAGTTTGGCCTATGGTTTATGGTTTGGGCTTCAGGGTAGGGTTTAGGGTTTGGGGTTAAGGGCTCAGGGCTTAGAGGGTTTAGGGTGGAGTTTCGGGTTTTGGGGTTTTGGGCTCAGGGCTTAGACGGTTTAGGGTTTAGGGGTTTGGGGTAGGGTTTAGGGTTTGGGCTCGGAGTTTAAGATTTAAGAATGTCTGCCCGAATGGCCTGAAAAATAGTAGCCACAGCAGTAACCACAGACCTCAGGAAACAAAACCACGAACGCCCGTCTTCCCAAAATATGGAAAGGGTAATGTTTCATCGTCGCAGGTGGACTGGCAAAAGCTTTGGCAGCCCATGTTGTCATAGCAATATTGAGTGACACAGACAACGATGCGCTGGCACCGGCATTGCAAGAAGACATGCAGCCGCACGCTGGAAAGACTCTGCACTCGACACGAAGCCCCTAAACCCCAAACCCTAAACCCTGAACCCTAAGGAACCTACCTTTTTAGGGTTCCCTAATATGATTTCTTTCTATATGTCCATAAAAATGAAGTTATTTGGGGTTAAGTAAACCCTAAACTCCAAACCCTAAACCCCAAGACCCTCAACCCCCCAGGGGCCTTCTCGCGCTTATTCCGTGCCTCCAAATCCTTCACCCGCCAGGCTTCAAATTCTTGCATAAACTTTCCTGGGCAGAGCTTAGAGGGTTTAGGGTTTAGGCTTGAGGGTTTAGGGGTTTAGGATTTAGGGGAAGCTGCAGAAACCCTCAACACCAAACTCCAAACTTGAAACTCGAAGCCAAGGCCTAAACCCACAAACCAAAAACTCTGAATCCCCTACGACCCTACAACCCTAAACCCTACAACCCCAAAGCCCTACAACCCTAAAACCCCAAAGCCATACACCCCAAAGCCCTACAACCCTAAACCCTACACCCTAAAACCCGAAAGCCCTCTGTCTGCCAGGCAAGAAGCACGGGTTCAGGTTTGAGGGTCTAGTATAGGTTAGAATAGGGTTTTGGGACCTATTACATCATAACCATAATAAGGAACCCCAACATAGCTGAAAGAGGAAAATTACTACGGCCCTACTTTGCACCATTACAAGATTGATGAGCTGTGGGCCCCAGATCGAGTTTGCGAGAGCTCTTCAGGGTTTAGGGTTTAGGGTTTGTTGACTCTTCTTCTGCCAACTGCATGAGGCTCCGTGAGCATCTCCTAGGGTAACAGAAAGAACACCCTACAGCCTAAGCCCGAAACTCCAAACCTTAAAGCAAAACCCCGGAACCCCGAAACGCGAAACCCAGATAAGTTCCCAGATGCGGTGTTCTTCGCGCTCTTTCCGCAATCGCTCCTCTTCTTCTTTCCTTCTCTGAAGCTTCCTGCAGATATGGGTGGTTGTCAAAATTAGGGTCCCATTTTGGGTCCTAATTATAGTACGGCACCTAATAATTCGGGTACCCAAAAAGGGACCCTAATTTTGTCAACCACCCATGTGTCGGCAAGTGGCTTTGGGATTCAGGGCTTCCGCTCGTTTTCAGGGCTTCTAGACCCAAGAGTAACCTAGGAACAAAAAGGGTGCCCGTTTTGGTTTAAAGGGGCCAATAAGGGAACCTGAACCCTACAAAAAGGGAATAAGGGCCTACTCTACGTCCTAGGCTTATGGCTCAGGGTTTCGGCTTCCGGAATTCCGGTTGTGGCCTCATTCGTTCAGGCACGTTTAAACTGTAACGGAAGAACGCTGTACATTGTAATGTTATTTACATCGATGCAAAAAAACATTACAATGTACAGGATCCTCATATTTAGACATCCAAGTATGTCGGATCCCTACTGGGTCAGTTTCTCCAACTCCTAAGTTATCAGTGATCTATTATCTCCGGCCAGAGCGGTTTGCCGGTCAAAATTCATCATGCGCCTGCTGGCTATAGTACAGAAGCTACTTTCTAGGGTTGAGAACAACTCCCCATCTCTATCTATCTATCTATCTATCTACGTGTCTCTCTATCTATCTACCGATCCATACATCCACCCACCCACCCACTCAGCTATTCACCCATTCATCTATGCATCCATTCTTTCATTCATCCATTATCCATTCATCCGTTCATCCATCCATCCATCCATCCATCCATCCATCCTGCTGAACTTGATGGCCTCCGGAGCATGCAGGGCGTAAACGCGCCGAGTGCCGCGTCCAACGTTTCATGTGATTGAGAGCGAAAGCTCAGCAGGAAGCTACTACCGACGGTACAGTACCCAAAGCACCCACGCTCATTCTGTATGGAATGCGCCGTGAACACACATTGCATTCTGAACGACAAGCTTTGAAACCACTTTGGCTTTATGAAACGTACGTACGTAGGACCACCGTGACCTTTGCTGCCCGATGTGCAGCTACCCGCAATGTATAGAATTAACTGTAGTGCAGTGGAAACAGCAACACATGACAAGTCAAGAGGCATCGTCGCTCTCTTGAGTTGACCTCTGTCACACTACAATTGTATCCTCAAGCTCCCTATAGACCCAGGCCGTGACTCCCACATCATATAGGGGCCTAAATACTTGCCTAAACTATCTTGGGGGCTCCTTATTATCATTGGGCCCAAAACCCTAAGCCTATTCTAATTCAGGTTCCTCATAGAGCCCTTTAAGGACCTCTCTAAAGGGAACCCTATTCTAACTACTTAAGGACCCTACCTTCGCTTTCAGGGAAGATCTGAAAGCCACGAGCCCTGCCGTACCTGGCTCGAGCACGTCTCCAGCTGGAGGAGCTTTGACCTTAGGTTCAAGCCTTCCGTGTTTAGGGTTTGGGGTTTAGGGTTTGGAGCTTTAGGGTTTAGTCTTTAGGATTTGGGGTTTAGGGTTTATTTACGGAGCTTTAGGGTTTAGTGTTTAGGGTTTGGGGTTTGGGCGGGGTTTGAGCACTTGGAGGTTGAATTAAAGCTCTGGATATGGCCTCAGCCGTGTTGCAAGCCTGCAAATTGAAGGTCGACGTCGATCTAGCGCAAGTAGCACTTTTCAGAAGCAATAATGGCGGGCCTCTGCAGCCACCTGCTATCCCGCATCCCTAGAGCTCATCCCTGGAACGCGTCGTTCCGAAAAGCCTGGAGCGGTAGCTTGTGACTGCCGCACTTCTCTTTAAAGGAACTCTCGTTAAACCCAATAAACCCAAACCCCTTCGAAACCCTGAACCCAAAAACCCGTTTAAACAATAAACCCTACACCTAAAATCCTTTTCAACCCTAAACCCTGAACGGTTTCAAACCCTCAACCCTAAACCCTCAAGCACCTTTTAAACCCTAAGCCCTCAAGCACCTTTTAGACCCTAACACCCTCAAGCACCTTTTAGACCCTAACACCCTTTTAGACCCTAACACCCTCAAGCACCTTTTAGACCCTAACACCCTCAAGCACCTGTTGGACCCTAACACCCTCAAGCACCTTTTAGACCCTAACACCCTCAAGCACCTTTTAGACCCTAACACCCTCAAGCACCTTTTAGACCCTAACACCCTCAAGCACCTTTTAGACCCTAAAACCCTCAAGCACCTTTTAGAACCTAAACCCTCAAGCACCTTTTAAACCCTAACACCCTCAAGCACCTTTTAAACCCTAACACCCTCAAGCACCTTCTAAACCCTAACACCCTCAAGCACCTTTTAAACCCTAACACCCTCAAGCACCTTTTAAACCCTAACACCCTCAAGCACCTTTTAGACCCTAACACCCTCAAGCACCTTTTAAACCCTAACAAACCTCAAGCACCTTCTAAACCCTAACACCCTCAAGCACCTTTTAAACCCTAACAAACTTCAAGCACCTTCTAAACCCTAACACCCTCAAGCACCTTTTAGACCCTAACACCCTCAAGCACCTTCTACAGTAGAAGCCAGAAAGTTGGAATATCATTATCGTAACCCCTTTAAGGTAAATTATAGGGTATCCTACCATGAAACCATATTCCAACTGTCTACTTTATAAGGAACCTAGGACTACAAAAAGGGAATAGGGGTACTACTGGGCATCCTAGATGGGCTTCGTCCGAGGATCTTCGGCTCCGATAGCTGGAGCTGGAGCTGCGTGCAGAGCGCGAGCGCGAGCGGCGCCGGGAACGGTGCCGGGAGCTCATGGGTCTGTCAAACTGGGGCTTAGGGTTTAGGGAAACTGGGGCTTTCTTGTAGTGTGGGGTTTTAGGTTTAGGGTTTGCGGAGCTCGGGTTGAGGATGTATATATAGGGTTTATGCAGCGTGGCTTCTGGTGTACCGGTTTGAGGGTGGAGATTGTACGCGAAGGGTAGCTACTTGTAGTCTAACTTGGGGCCAGGAGGTGCGTTTGAGATGTCAGAGGTCTGTAAAAGCTTTCATCTGGGGTCTGAGGCTGTTTGGCTCCTTCAGGCTAGTGATAATGCAGCTTTCAAGACGGGGTTTTGGGGTGCAAGGTCTGAGGGATTGGAGCGTTGGAAATGATTGGCAGCACCGTAAAGAGCTGTGGTTGCTGCAAAGTTGGTTGTGGATGGTGGGTACGTACTTCATTCGAAGTAATGTAGCGGCCTGAATAATTAGAATCTGGCTTTGGGCATTCCGTAATATAAATAAAGTATACTAATTATGCTCCCAAACACTAGTCTAATTGTTAAGGCCCCGAAATTAGTGAAGGCTTCCGCACTGCCCAGCTAAATCTCTGAACTCAGAAATCGCAAGCCGTCAATCCTGCAGCCAAACGAACCATTGTGTCAGACTCGTCGATACATGGGTGGTTGTCGAAATTGTGGTTCCTTTGTGGGCCCCTATTACAAGGCGGCACCTATTTTTTGGGGTACCCAAACAGGGACCATAGTTTTAACAGCCACCCACATGTAACCACGTTCATCACCAGCCCAGGATCCAGGGCTTCCCAAAAAAGATCTATATAGAATCTATATAGAGTACGGGGGGCTCAAATTCGGGAGACAAGCCGTGTTGAGCAAGGGCCTTCAGCAGCACCATGCGCTCTTATGGCACGGCCGCACCACGAAGAATCCAAGAGGAGGGTGGGGCGTCTTACGGCCACACGATACCGAAAGTTGCGGGGCTCTGAGGTCCGGGCTGCGGCTCAAGGCTCTGTGGATGCTTGGGTGGATCTAGGGGCATAGCCTTTTTTTTTCTCACCTCTGTCTTGGAGCATCTGAGTGTGGAAAAACCGAAAGCTACACCGTCAGCGCAGCCTGAGTGCCAAGGCGGAGAATGCCACGGGAAGAACTGAAATATGCTTTTTTTTTTTTGGGGGGGGGGGGCGTCCTTGTTATAACTGCAGTATAATTGGCCCACAAACCCTATTTTGAATGGATCCGGGCCCGGGGTTTAGTAAGCAAGATGGTGCAATGGTAATACATGGAAGAGCCGGAACCATCATACTGCCACCATGTATAGCGGAGATGACAATCGTAAGAACCACTAAATGTGGTTTTCTGCATCTAGACCGTTGGAACCAAAGGGCACTCGAAACAGGTAGTCGCAGTGGAAGGGGAATGTCCAGTCCCACTGGCAAACTGTCACCAAGTACATCTAGTGACCGCAGTACGAACATTGCTAATATAGGGGCCTTAATAATCAGAATAGGGTTTTGGTGCAGATTCTACTATAAAGATAATAAGAAACCACCGAAACTAGTATAGGTACTTATTTAGACCCCTATAGTAGACAGCCAAACTGAACAAGCAGAAAGACGAACCCGCCTGCCCCGGAGAGTCAAAGAAGACGTAAGGAATGGCCGTGTCGGCTGTGACTTGCCTGCGGAAGTGGAACAGAGTAACATGATCCATGATGCTTTGTGGGGGGTGGGAGGTCTAGGTAGAGTTTAGAGTGAACGCGGTTTCGCAATTCTGATTTCTGCTTGGGTTTGGAGTTCTTGTTGTGATTGCGAGGGCTTGGAACGCACGGTTCAGAAACTCGGCAATCGACTGCAGCCATCGTGAGCTAATATAGCTGTCTCGTTCACTCAAAATCTTTCGTTGCCGCCTCTCTGCGACTTGTTGCCTTGCTCGCACGGGAGCCCTCTCTCTCTCTCTCTCGCTCTCTCTCTCTCTCTCTCTCTCCCTCGGTTGTCTCTCTCCTTCCCTTCTTTCTCTCTCTCTCTCTCTCCGCAAGTATATACTTGTTCTTGCGCGCAGAGCATTCGCAACCTTTCCTTCGTCTTCGACCCCTCTGCCACGGCCCTATGTAGGTGCCTCACGGTGTCTCAGTACTTAGAACGGGGTTAGAGGACATGTTGTAGCAAAACCTGCCTATAGTCTCCATTGTAGTTCCTTTTGGGGGTTACCTTATAGGATCCTAATTATATACTGGTTAAACCAAAAAAAGGAACTACAATGGAGACTATAGATAAACTCAGAAGCCATAAAGGAGCAGTGAGTAGCGTGACTCATATGGCAGGCTTCATCACTCTATATCATAGTACCCTTAAACTTATAGATCCCTTATTGTAGCCCTTATCTAGAACCCTTTGAAGAAGACCCCTATTCTAATTGTGAAGGCCCCTTAATCATAGTAGCCCTTGTCTAGAACCCTGCTGTCTGCCATCGCACACCAATGTTTGTGCCGCTCTGTATCGGGCTGGCTACAAGTTTAGAATCCCGGACTCCATGGTTTGCTACAATATCAGCGACACTAAACTCTGAACTTGAACCGCGAAAAGTAAGTGATCCTCAGACCGCAAATTGTCCAGTTTAGGTTCGGGGCTCAGGGTGTAGAGTTCGTGGCTTTAGGGTTCATGCAGGGCTTGTGCTGAAGAACCCTACAGATCCGTGGCCGGAAGAGGCTCGGGGGGCGCGCCGTATCCGGGTGATCAGCCAATCAATGTTGACCTGGCTCAGGCATCGTTTCCCTGCGTGTTCAGCTGCGGCACTAATGGAGGTACCTAGATTACCTAGATCCTGAATTCTAGCCATTCTAGCATCTTGTTTGTGGCAAATATCTCGATTTCATAGTCTAGGTTCCTGATCAGGAGGTTATACACAAGATGGTGCTGCAAGAAGTTTGGCGCCTGCTGACAAGGTTCAAGCAAACACAACCGAAAGCAAGTAAATGCGAAACTGACTGCCTCGATGTACTCCATGGCATAGAGAAGGGCACCATTAGGTCCAAGATCAAGCTCAGCCATGACATCCTGCCACATTGCACTGAACTTGATGATAGACTGAAAGGAGCAACATTTTCATTTTGTTGAAGAAGACATGCGTTGAGGTGTCTTGCAGGACTTTGTCAACAGGATTCAACAGGCACAAGGCCCTTCTTCAAACAAAGCTGACCGTTGCTCATTGGGCGCACTCCTCCCCCACAGCGCCAACCGACAATATCTTCCATGTGAGCTGACACACCTCAGGGACTCAGAAATACGCCTCGACACTGACAAGCTCACGGATGTCAATGTCGCAGTCGTACCTGTCAATGACTCAATGATTCTACAATGTACCGCTTCGGATGATGAAACCCTAAACTTGCCCTAAACCCTATGTAAACCCTTGACAGAGTAGTCTGGGCCCAGTCTGCAATGCACGTGCCACATGAATCCCTCGAAGCCTGCGAGGAAACTTATGTGCAGGGTATATAAGGTATACCTGCACCCAATACCACCCTTCTTTTTAGGGGTTACTTATGGTTTCTTGTATAAGTCCGTAAGAAGGTAGGCTATTTGGGGTCCAGGTACGGCTTAGGGTTTCAGGTGCGAGACTTGCCTTTCGGCCTACATAAACCCTAAACCCTTCAAACCAACCCTAAACCCTAAACCCTAAACCCTAAGGTGGGAAACACGAGTGCTTTAACATGTCGTCTTCTCGTCGAGGAGTCCTAGGAGCTGGATCATGGATAGAGTAGAGCACAACAAAATTAAAAGCAAAAGTCGTTATATAGTATAGTCTGATCTACTATGGTATAGTATAACGGAGCATATAGTACAATGTAACGTACTATAGAAGAACATAACACGAGAGAATAAACATACAACATTGCATAATCCAGTAGTGTTTAAAACCACGTTGCGTAACTTAGCCTGATGGAGTACAGCGTAGTATAATATAGCACAGCAGCATAAGCCCCGGATAAAGCCGTGAGGCCAGGGATTCGAGCTTAGCGTGTCCTTGTTCTCAAGTCTCGTCTCACCATTGTACCAATGACCAGCAGCATTGGAACACTCGACCCTGAACCTGACCCCCGAATTAAAGCCTCAACACTAAATCCGTAACACCGACCCCTGAAACACGAAACCCTAAAAAACCGACGCCTGAAACACTAAACCCTAAACACCAACCCCTGAAACACTAAAGCCTAAACACCGACCCCTGAACCCCAAAGCCGTCGCAGAGGAGGAACTGCTTTCGGGCACGGCAGGTCGTCATTGGCCGGGTCGAGGTTGATAAGAGTTCGGGGCCGCTTCAGCCTTGGACCAAGGACGGCCAAAACAGGGTTTCGGTTTTTTATTTATTTTTTAAAGGGCTCCTTTTCGATCTGCGCAGAGTTTAGGGTGTAGGGTTTACAAGCTTTGTAATAAGGGCTTCATAGGTTCTTACAAGGATTTTAGAGCTTCTTACAAGGTTTTCTAGGTTGTTGTGAGAGTTATGTAGATTCCTGTAGGTTCTGAAAGGGCTTTATGGGCTCTTATCAGGAGTTTAATGCGCGCTTTCTAGGTTCGTGCGATGGCCTCATTCTCCTCAAGCTTGGATTGGCAAGGTTCAAGTTTAGGTGGAGTTCAGGGCTTACTTAGGACGCTTGAGGATGCTTGGGGTGTAGGGCTGAGGATGCCTAATATAGGGCCCTTAATAATTAGAATAGGGTTAATAAGGAACCACCAAGATAGTATACGTAATTATTAAGGCCCCTACAGTAGAGTGGCAATGAATATGCATGAGAAAACGATACGCTGAAGCTACCACGACGACCGCTACGACGAGTGCCGAGAAGTGGTAATGATGTTCATCCATACCAAGCCAGGAGTCCTACCGTTTCGGGTAGATCCTAGGATCCCAAGTTTCTGAAACTTCCAGGCGCCTTGACTTTCAGAAGGAGGTGCAAGGAATTGAAGAATCTGCGGAGCTCGGAAGGAAGTGCAATGCCCTTGCGAGAGCTCTGCTGGATGGCCGATTCGTGCCTATTCCATGAAGAGCATGATCAGAACAACCCCCGAAAAAGACCGGAAGTTTGAGGAAACCCTGAAGCTCTAAAGCCACTACAGCTGTGAAGCCGAAACCGTTAATATAGGGACCTTAATAATTACTATAGGGTTTTGGGGCCATTAGTTTTAGTACGGAACCCCCCCCCCAAAACAATGGAATTGGTAATTATTTAGGCCCCTACATTATAGTACCCTTATAGTATCCTTTATAGTCACCCTTATAGACCCCCTTTTAAAGGAACCCTGCTCTTGTCATTAAGGTTGGTCAGACAAAGGCCACTGCAAAGGCCCGGACGCTCCAAGCAGCTGCTGCATTCCTGTGCAGTAAGTGCTCCTGGCCAGCCCCAGAAACACTTTCGAAAGGGCTTCTATAACAATTGTAATTTACATTTCGGCTATACTATACTCTACCCTAGTTATACTTTACTGTACTAATCTGGCCAGCCCCTCATAAAGGTTGTTTAGGGTTTAAGGTTAGGGGTGTAGGTGTTTAGGGTTGAGGGGCTATGGGTTTAGGGTTTAGGGAATAGAGCATACACTGTAAGTAGCGGTATAGCATAAACTAAGGGTTTAGGGTTTGCCCAAACATTTACTAAGAGGGCTTCCGCAACAATATACATTTCTGCTAGACTCTACTCTACTATACTATACGGTACTAAGTCACGTGACTATAGAGGGAAACACGGGAGGTTACTGCAAGCGGTTACTATACTCTCTACGGGTCACTGTACTTCAGGTCATCTCATTCTCTGCATGGAACAACGATAACACGGACTTAGCATGCAATCTGATACTGTGCAACTATATGCCGTAGGGCCACATTGCGAAGTAAAAGAATCTCCTCGAACTTTATTTGCAGCTTGATCCCGAAAACGCAGCAGGAGAAGACCGAACAAACCCGGCTTGCACCCCAAATCACTCTCGCCGCCATCAACATGTCGGGATCCACTTTCCCGCGCCCGGTGGGCCCAGCACGAACTGTCCGAAAACCACCTGGCAGTAGTACACTCCTAGGGCGTATGGCAAAGCGGCAAAGTAAACCTGCGGCTGGGCTTAACATAGCGGCCTAAACACTCACCCAACACTGTTTAGAGGGCTCCTGATAATAACTACAAACTTATAGTAACAATACATCCCAAATCCATATTAAAAATATTACAACCATGAGGGTCCCCCATAGTAACTAGTGATGGCTACCCCTCCCAATGCAAGCACCAATATACGTCCTCCGAGTCACTGGTCCGAGCTGCTGTGCGCCACAAAACCTACTCCGAAGCGTTAACACAGGGGCCCTGAATGATTAGACTAATGTAGGAACCTGATTAAGAGAATCCTACTATTTTGGGGTTACAGGCCCAGGGTTTCTTAATCAGGTTCCTACATTAGGGTTTTGGGGGCATATCGTACTACAGTTACGATAAGGATTCCCCAGAACAGTATTATATTGGTAATTATTGAGGCCCCTATATTGTAGTCTCACTTTCCAGTGTCAGAACAGCTTAGCCGACCGCTTGGGGCACAGTCTACATCTCATATCCGCGCAGTATGGTTAGGGTTCGGGATGTCGGTGCGATTTCGGCGGACTGCTGTGCAGAGCACCTCGCGTGAGCAAGCCAGAGATGTAAGGATGATGAATAACCGGCTTGTGTATCTGCATACCAATCTTGTCGTGCCAGCGAAACAGAAACATCTAACCTGTTCTCTGGTACCGCGATTGCCATGAACTCGTGTCACCAACGCCAGAATTCTCAAAGATCTTGCCGTACTTTCTGTCGTACGAGCTTGGTTACTCTGTCCGTCCCTTGAAACCCGAAACAAGTCAGCAAGGCCATCGCTTGTTACACGGCACTGCTAATGCGCAGGCTTCCGGTCTCCCACATGCGAGCTTCTGCGAAGTCCAGTGTTCTGGGGTCTGAAGGACTGCATGGTGTATCGCTTGAAACCTGATCAGCACTTCGGAGCAGATTACTGGGCTTCAAAGGGGGTTCATCTTCGAGATGGACGTGTCTCGCCTCCATGTTCACAGTCTACGGGGCTTGAAGGACTCTTGGCAACGGCTGAAGTGTAAATGACAGCGACTCCTGGCATCAAGATCTGAGCTCACAGCATCCGGAGCAAAATTGGCAAAACGAAGCGCTCTGACATGAACTGCTCATCAAGCTCGAGCTCGCAGGCAACCATGCACGTAGCCTGGTCGACTTTGGATTTGATCTCTCGCTTCAGCGACACTCCGCTTGAATAGTGCACCCAAAATTTCCCCCCCCTCCCCCGCAGTGGAAAGCACAGCTCCAGTTGCTCAAATTTCCAAAGGCAAGTGATGTAGGGGCGTCAATAGTTAGAATAGGGTTTGGGGCTATATTATACTACAAGGAACCACCAAAGCCCTATTCTAATTATTAAGGCCCCTACATCCTTCAATCCCTGATAGTACCCTTATAGTATCCCTTAAGGGAACCCTTCAAAGTGAACCCTATGCTACCTATTAAAGACCCCCATATCTTTAAATAGTATATACCCTTATCGGATCCCTTATGGTACCTCTTTAAAGGAATGATAGAATCCGAAAAAACCGTACAGGAACCCTTTAAAGAAACCCTATTCTATTTTTTGAAGGCCCCTACATCCTTCAATCCCTGATGGCACTGCATCCCTTAGGGGAACCCTTTAAAGGGAACCCTGTTCTAATTATTAAAGCCCCCTAAAGCCTGAACCTTAACCGTATGTCGCAACACACGCGAAGTCCAAAGGCTCCGCACGCTGGGTTTTTGCCGTGCGCGTTGCGGCAGTCACTTCTTCTGCTCTGCCTTCCAAGTCGGTTTAGGGTTTTGGGTTTTGGGGTTTCGGACCAGGGTTTAGGGTTGAGCGTGTTTCAGACGAGGCCGCCTGAACCCCAAAAAGGGCGAATGAGTGGCGCAATGATGCGACTTTTCCCGGCCCGGCGATTACCCGAGTTGACAGGATGCCCCGACACTCCTGAAGTCGCAGGCCTGATCACAGGAAGGCGGCTTTGGCTCCTTCAGCAGACATCCTGGCCAGCACCTGGCCCAGTCTGACATAAGGGACCTTTACGCCACATTATGCGAAAGCTTCGGGGCAGAATACGACTAAGAAGGGAGAACATTCAATGCTTGAAATTGTCGTTTCAAGCCCCTTTGCATGTGCAAGTTCGGGATTTCTAGCATCGAATGAGGGATTTAGGGTTGAAGGCTTGGGGTAGTGAGAAAGATCGACGACAGCGGGAAGCTAAAACCGCGGTAGGTGTGCAAAGACCGCCGTAAAGACTAGTAAGATCCTAAACCCTAGGCGATCTGACTACCTATCTATCTATCCATCTATCTATCTACATCTTTGTGACGCAAAAACGGAGCCTAATTTAGCGACTACCCATGTACAGAGACAAGGCACATCGGAGGTGGGAAGCTGCAAGGTGAAGGCATGGTTTGCTCCAGGGCCATCTTGACCTCAATGATGTAAGCATGTCTGCTCATCTGGGTTTAAGATAATTCTGGAGTCGATGGGGTTTTGAACTCTAGAGGTTTAGAGTTTAAGGAACTCACGGAAATCGCAGGAGCTCAACTTCAGGCGGTTGCCTTCTTGTAGGTCCTTGGGCAAAAGCCAAACACCCCAGGCCCTAGATCTCACAAATTGAGGCCCAGGCGCCCGTAAGCATGAACCCTAAAGCCTGAATCGTAGAACATTTGATTTCGGTTTCTGTAAGAGTTTCGGGTTTAAGTAAGTCTTGAAGCACTACTCTTCACTTACAGGCACCCGAGCCCCGAAATTTCAACTCCTACTCCCATCTGCTGCTAGCGTTCTGCTGCCTGTATCAGGCTTAGGCTTGTCGTACCTTTGGTTAGTAGAGAATGGAAGAATGGTAGTAATAGTAGTTATACTTGTACCCCATTCCTCCATTCCCTACTAATTAAAGGTAAGTTGTAGGATTTCCCAGCTCAGGGTTTCGAGTGCCTTGTAACCTCCGGCCCCAGCCATAAGACCCTGTCTTGACGGATCCTGAAGTGCTTGGTTTAGGGTTTAGGGAGTTTAGGGTTTAGGATTTAGGGGGTAACTTGATGCTATCAATCAGATCAAAGCAGATATGACCCCAACGACGCTTCAAGTGAGCCACACACCCATCGAGCACTACGAAGAACCCGTCAAATCTCATTGAGAGCCTGCGGTCCAACTCAGGCCGTCGGAACTTGCCTCAACAAATTCATCCTGGATCGGCCTGTGAGCTGAGGAAAGCGCCTTCCCGAAAAAAACTGCTTGAAAGAATCACATCCCGATCCTGAAACTCCGTCTTTACTTGACAGCTTGGCTGTGAGGTCACAGCCAAGCAAGAAAATCCGAAAGGTTGTTATGCTACAATAAGGGCTCCAAAGGAAACGAGATCCCACGAAAAGGTCAAGTGCCGTGTTCCAGAACTCAAAACAAGTTCCCCACTCTCTTCAGTACCTTCCGTCGAGCCGAAAAACTCGTTCTGTCCATGCCTGGTGAGAGACCGAGAGAGGTGGCGGATTCGCATCGGGAGTTGTCGGGTCTTTCTGTTTAGCTAGTATTCATATTCGGTCTATCAATAGTATATGTATATGCATTACCATCTTATTACTACTATTACTATTATTGTCATAACTCTTGCCGAGTCTTTCTGTTTACAGAAGGGTAGTCGGGTCCGTCCTTCGTGGAGGCTTGTGGAGGGAAGTGAAATTGCCCTGCGCGTCTCGAGCTTGGAGGAGAAATCCGCAACACTTTGGGTTTGAAGTTCAGTCTTTAGCTCGGTTGCAAAATGGCCTGCGGAGTAGGTCTCAGCAAAGTACGAAAGGAAAGAGGATGCTTGATGACAAGAGAAGCATCCAGCAACACTCAAACGCAATGTGTCCGAATTGCCGCTTAAGGGAGAGCGAGAACAACAATGCTACGACATGGGCGAACCCAAAGTCCCTACACCCTGAAACCACATAAATCCTCAAGCCTTATCCTCAAAGGGTTGAGGGTTTCAGGGTTTAGGTCAAGCCCCACCATCCTAAGAGCCTCGATGACTCGATGCGACTGAATGGCGTGGCCTCAAGAGGGACCAAGTTCCAGTGTCTACGGGCTCTGTTTATGGGCATCACTACTATTCTCTGGTTCTCAAACCTCCAAAGCCTAAAAGAAAACTCCGAAAACCTCAACCCTAACCATGAAACCCCTGAAAACCCTAAACTCGAACCCTTAGAACCCACACCCGAAACCTCATATCCTAACTCCCCCAAGGCCTGCGGGTAACCAGCGCGCGACCGCCCTTGGGGCCCACGACCTTTGCGTGTTCGGCCGCCCAGCCTCAGAGTCTCGGAGGAAACGGACTACGACGAGGGGACCCTATTCCTACTCGGTTTAGGGTTTAGGGTTTAGGGTTTAGGGCACAATACGATTACCAAAGAGGGGGTTTGGGAGTTAGCCTACTTTTCGGACATCATGGGGAACTAAAGGCTAACCTTTTTGGTTACACAGGGATTATATAGGGACTCTACTACCTAAACAAGGTTAACGGCTACCTACTCTACTAAAAGGCATTAAAACAACCCCAGAGCACCCATCTAAGGGGACCCTGGTATAGAGGCCTTTTCGAACCCCTAAGGCCCTAAGGGTTAGAAGTTGGGTACTGCCCCAACGGTGGCAGTCTCTAAGAGGACTGCGATTCAGTGCCTTATATATCTAAGTTGTGAATATCATTACTGTTGCTGAGTGTGGGCAGAATCCGGACTAAAGCCCAAGAGGACCTCGCTAGTGGTTCGACGTCTCTTATGTATGCTCAGCCGTAGAAACGGTTTGAGGCCTCGAACACCAAAGTGCCGCCCAAACCTCAAGAATCCAGCCAAATCCTAGATGCCTAGCATATCTAGCACGATAATGCCCGTCCAGCAATATGGAGTGCGAGACGATTGCAAGCGTGCCTGAAAAGAGTCACTGTCCCATTGTACAGTTGAAGCTTGTGACTTACGGGGTCTATAGGTGTATAGCCTTGGATATAAGGCTTATGCAGCTGGAAGCCGGGTTTACAATAGGAAGATGATCAGAATATGAAGGAACGCAGTCTCGCATCTGTTGCTTAGGTGAAGATCATAACTTATAACAATACTCCAATAAACGTAACAAATAAAATGTTCCAACAATCATCATGTGCAAGAGTGCTAATAAGACGCAGAATCAAAAGAACAAACAACAAGGGCATATGGCAGGTGGTCGCAGGGAAAGTTTCCGAGCTGGCTCGAGCTGCTATTGCGGTAACCCCAAGGGCACAGATCCCTTGCGCCATAGAGTGCCCCTGCGGCCGCGAAAGAAGCTTTTAACGGTTTTGGGTTCGGTTTAGAGGGAGACTACCCATAGGCCCCATAGTAGTTCCTTACCTTTTTGGGATTCATATTAAGAATCCTATAAGGTAATCCCAAAAAAGGAACTACGATGGGGCCTACGGCTAGCCCCAAACAGGAAAATGCGAGCAGATAACATATCGATGGAATGACTCGGCAATCGCCATCGTCTTGTGACATAGACTCAACAAGTTTGCGAGTGTCTGGAAGCTGAGGGGTTCGAAGACCGCAAACTTTAAACCTAATCTCCGAAAGTTGAAGACTCCTGAAACTTTAAACTACTATTTTGAAGTTCTGAGCTGCAAAACCCTTACCACCTCCTCGAACATTCCCATGCCGGGGCATCCGCACACCGAGCTGTCCGGAGAATAGATCATTGTCCCCACCTGGGCGTTGGATCCCATGCGAACCGTTTGCTATTACTGTTGAGGGTCGGGATTATGATTTGATTAGGCTTTGGTGTTTTAGTCCACAAAATTTCG